ATTGCCAGTAAATACTGAACCTTTCAGTTTCGAGAACTTCCCCACCTCTTCTGTCTACATAGGGTTTTTTGATTGTCGTTTCTTTTGTTTAGATTATTTGTCATAGCAATGGCCCAATTTATTTTAAGTGTTTTGTCACATTCGTGTAAGCTGGTTACACCATCTTGAATTATTTAACTCAGTATAAACAGTGAGGTGGTAGATATGTGAAAGCTCGTATACCATATGTGTTTATGGAAATGTGCTTATTGAGATACTTCCAAGCACAGCATCTGCTCTTATGCATCTTTTATAATATTTTGCATCAAGCTCATGCAATAGTTCATCTTCACCATCTGATAATTTTTCATTTAAGAAGTTTCCCCTCATGTTTTTTGATAAATGGCCATTTTTAATATTTTGGAGCAAATAAGCATCTAAATGAAAAACAAGAATGATCAATAAAATGTTTTTCTTGAGATCTTTAGTTTCCATTATCCAGTGCATACTTTTTAGAAAGAGCTGAAGGCTGTGTATTGAGAAGAGTAAGGTCTTCTGGATAATATCTCAAATGGAAAAACAAGTTTATTTGACCTGTGATGCATGTGGACTTGTAGGTCACATAAAGCCTGCTGAGAATAAAGTTCTCCTTTCCACCGTTCTCTGGATTGAAAATTCGGGCTTACTCTGGATTCCTGTTTTTGTACTCAAAAGGGAGTTGCACAATGTCCAGTGTTACTTAATGGCTTCTTTTAAATTGCAAATCCACCTTAAGATCCTTTGGTTGTCTCTATGGAGAGAAAACTTACTAAGTCCCCAAATACAACCCGGCAGAGACCTGTATGTGCACAGCTACTGATTTCAGAAAATAATTAATCATGCAGTAGGCTAGTGTTCATCTACCTTCACTAGCACTTGAAACAATCTATTATTAGTAATATTTTCTAAGTCTCAAAACCAGAGAATCAGCTCTATCTAGGGGACCAACTTTTAAAAAAAATTTTTTAATTTTTTATTTTAATTAGTTTCAAGTATACAGTCCATTGGTTAGACATTTTATATAGTTTATAAAATGATCCCCCTAAGGGGACCAACTTCTTGATTTACTAAAACATACATTGGTTCTAATACAGTAAAGGAAGTGCAACCACCATGACTATACAATCTGCTGCTTTTAAAACTAAGAGAGATGTCCAAGGGTCTCCAAACGTATACACCAAGGTCTCTCTAGCATGGTGTGCAAATCACTAGCAGAATGCAAAATGATTTTAGGTGGTGCATGGATAAACTTTCGAAAAAATTGTAATCATTATTTACTTATTATAGTGGATTGAACAGTGTCCCTCTCAAAAGTCTTGTCCACCCAGAACCTCAGAATGTGACCTTATTTGGAAATAGGGCTTTTGCAGGTGTAATTTGTGAAGGATCTCAAGATGAAATAATCTTAGATTTAGGATGGACTTTGAATCCAGTGACTGGTATCTCTATAAGAGAAAAGAGAGAGAGATTTAGACACAGAGACATACAGAGAGAAAATGGTCATGTGGATATTGGGGCAGAGATTGGAATGATGTGAGTGCAAGCCTAGGACCATCAAGGAGTTAGGAGAGGGGTATGGAGCAGTTTCTCCTCTAGAAAGCTCAAAACCTACTGATACCTTTATTTTGAACTTCTGACCTCCTGAACTGTGAGAGAATCGATTTCTGTTGTTTTTAACCCACCCAGTTTATAGTATTTTATTATGGCAGCCCTACCTAGGAAATGAATACACCTGAAAAATATAATACACAAAATATACATGCTGAATAAAACCTGTGATTTCACAGCTGTTTCCATTTTTAAACTGATATATTCTCATATATTTAGGTAGCAAAAAGGTGCATTGATATTAAAAAATTGAGTACAGGGTCAGGCCTGGTTCGTACTTGGATGGGAGACCACCTAGGAAGACTAGGTGCTATAGGTGTAAAAAATAAAAAATAAGGGATTGTAAGCTGACAAGGTCCATGCAATCCGTGAGGTCAACCAAGAGTTGCCTCACCTAAAAAAAAAAAAAAATGAAAAAATAAAATAAAAAATTGAGTAAATAATCCCATAGGAGGTAGAAAGATATTGCAAAACTGCTATGGGAGGCATGAGGATGGGGGACCATTTTTGGAAGCATTGCTGTTTGCAACAGGGTCTTTTCCATCTGAGTGGCATTGTGGGAGATCAGGATGCACTCTTATCTTTTCCCTTAATCAACTCTGTGACTTTGGATAAAATATAAATAATGGCCCATCTTCCTCAGTAACAAAATGAGAACAGTAATAAATATCTCACAGAACTTATGCCGGGATGATGAGTTCCTTTTCCATAACAGTTGAAATACCAAAAACTTACTTATCTGAATCAATTTCAGATTGGTGAGCGTGGGGATGGGGGACTCATGGTAGATGGATTGATGTACTAAAGAACATTTTATAGTCAGTGCCTTTAAATGTTTCGAGTTGTAGATGATAAATATATAGGGCTGAGCAATGTGGGGAGTGAGTTGTGGTAAAGCAGTAGGAACTGATGAAAATAGCCCTTGATGAGTCATAGCTGAAGTCAACTTTCTATTCTTTCTGTGTCTTATTATGCGTTTTATGAGTTCTGAGGCCTTTATTTCTCCTTCTTTTCAATCCTATCATCTTGGAGCTCATAAAAGTGAGTAAACTCCAGACATAATTCAACATATCTTAGATATAGGGAAGTATGTATTTAAGGAAGTTCGGAAAAATTTTATAATTTGATGTGGAGCTCCGAAAATACTGTAGGATGGTTTCCTAAGCAGACTTGCCTGGTACCAGCAAGGTGACCTGGAGTGGGAATGATACAGCTAACATCTATTGTGTACTAGCCAATGGGTAGGCACTGTGTTAAATGCTATCTCATATAATCAGCCCTGAAATCTCTAAGATTGGTATTGTTACTAAAATTCTTATTTTATAGTTGGGGAAATTGAAGTTTGGAGAAGATAAGTAACTTGTCCCAGCTCAAATAAGTAGAGATTAAATAACTTGTTCCAGATCATCAAATAAGGCAGTTTGCCCCTAGAGCATGCACTCCCAATCTCTTTGTTATGCTATATAAAGGCTAAAAAAATACAGACATACAGGAAGGGGAAGCATGCCCCTGTATGATGCAAGAGAAAGAACTTGGTCTTTGGAGTCTGGAATGTCTATTATAACCCTGGCTCTGCCACTTAGAGACTATCGACCTTAGGCAAATGACTTAAACTCTGTGAACCTCAGATTTCCCATCTGTTAAATGGATGCAGTGACACAAACATCATAGCAGTCCTGTGAGGTTAAATAAGATGTATCCTGTACAATGTGAGGTACATGGGAAATAGCCTGCACTGTACCAAGTATTTCTCCTGAGGTAATTTACTTAATACTTACAATAACCCTTTAAGGTAGGTATTCTTATTATCTCTGTTACTTTACAGGTGAGAAAACTAAGGTTTAAAGACGTTAAGCTTTTCCGGCGTCACACAGTCAGCACATGGCAGAGCAAGAGTTCAAACTTAGAAAGCCTGATTCCACAGCACAAGCTCTCATTTACTTTTACTGTCTTCCTTCGCCTTGTGAAAAAGAGTTGGGAGCTAGAGTTAAATACAAGCCTGAGAAGATCATGCAAGTATAGCAGCTGATGAAAAAGCCAGTTTGTATTTAGGGTACATTCATACAAAAATAGGGTTCAGTGCATCTGATATATTCTGTGCTGTTCAGACTGCGTCTGGAATAGTGTGTGCAAGTTTGGATGATGCTTCTTAACAGCTACTAACAAACTGGAAATGACTATGATAATGAGAGAGGTTGGAAGTGATCTCAAGAGAGGAATAACTTTAAATATTTTGGTTCAATGAAGGCCTGAAAGGAGTCAGAGAGACAGATGTTTTGGGGAAAGGCTAACTGTCCAGAAGGTTGACAGTACCTTAGTATAATCACTGTGGGCCCTTACCTTGTTCCCAGACTTGCAGGTCCAATTATTTCACTGTATCAATTAATTAACATTCAGAGTTGATCATATTCTTGGCAATTGACTCACACTAACCAAATCTCTGAGACTGAGACATTAACCAGAATGCCAATTAATTGCTTAGAATTAGGAACATAAGCACCAAACAGATTTTATATATGTATTTCCTGATAAGAGCATATTTTTTCCCCCAGGTGGTCTTATATTATTCTGTCAAAATGTATGTAACACTGTGAGAGGCTAATTTGTTAGCTTTCAAGTAGGATAAAATTGTAGGCCCTTGACAGTTTTTCTGACATAGGGTGATGGTCAAAAGTTATGTCTCATTGATTTATAACTTGATTTTATTGACATGATTTATATTATTAACTGAATTTATTCTTATGAACAATATTTCATATGTTGTTTTGAACTTTTGTATTTTGTCTTCAAATGCTTGTTTATATTCTTTATCTGTTTTTCAACTGGATTATTTTTAATTGAATGGAAGATTTCTATTTTTTTCTACAGTGAAAGGATTTTTAAAAAATTATGTATAACAATAGGCAAAATTATTTAAAGTCAATAAATTTTTATTTAAGGAATTTTACATGTTGTGATTCCTTCCACTGCCTATCAAGATTGCCTTAGTTCCTCTAAACTTGAGTCAAGTTAGCCCTTTTTAGAAGAACCTATGCTTAATCCACGGTTGTCCTGTTAGTCAGACCATAATTTTTTTAATTGGGCTTCTTTTATCTCCACTTCAATATGCACATACTGATGACATGCTTCCAACATTTCCCCACCTAGAATTTTTGGGAACTAACTTCTTCAGGTAATTTACTTTAGGGTCACTTTAGGGTCAAAGTAGATGAATTTACATGGTTCTCAATTGCAGAGACCCTTTAAACATGAATGAGTTCAAATCATATTCACTCCTAAGCTCTCACACCCAAGAATGGTGTGGACTATGGGATTTTTTGTCTTCCAAAAGACAAAACAAAAATTAACCTTTAGGCCTTTTTAACTTTTAGCAACCCTGTCTTGTAGTTCTTTATCACAAATCTAACAGATATTTCTCTGAGTAAGGCAAAACCACATAGTTACTCTATGAGGCATTTCCAACAACGTGGGGCTATAGAAAAGCCCAGTGGAGATAGACATCACTATTGGGTTGTTTTTTATTAACTGATAGGTTCATTATACAAATACATATGTATATAAAATATTCAGCTATATTTGGATAATTTAGATAAAATGAGATATATATGTATATGCAATAAAATAAAATAAGGCATAAAATTTTGTTATTTCAGTTGCAAATATTTTCTTTCATAATTTACAATCTTTTGACTTTGTTTATATGTCTTCTGCCATACATATAATGTATCTGGATTTTATGTTTTGTCAAGATAGCTTTCTCCTCCTAAGATTATAAAAGTTTTCTCATTTTTTCTTTCACTCTTAAAAAATTTATATTCCAAATACAACTGAAATTTATTCATTCTTAAGTATAGAGTGAGGAAGACATTTAATTTTACTTTTTTTCATATAGATAGCTCCTTGTCCCAACACCATTTATTAAATAGTCTGTTGTTTCCTGACTGATTTTAAGTGACTCATTTATCATATCCTAGGATTATATATATAAATGAATGTATTTTATTTTTCTGGGCTTTTGGTTCTGTTCTATTGATTTCTTTGCCTTTTTATTTATAATGCCATATTATTTCACTTACTGTGACTTTACAGAATATTTCTATATCTCATGAAGTACTTTTTTGTTCTTTTTCTAAAAATCTTGACTTTTTTGGCACATCTCATAGATATACTTTAGAATTAGCTTGCCAATTCTATAAAAATTTTTTAAAAATTTTGATTAAAGATGCATTACATTTATTATTTCATTTGGGGAATAGTAATATCTGTATGATATTGAATCTTTTTATCTCGGAATATCTTTTACGGCCTTCATTAAAATTATATGGTTATCTTCAATAGATTTCATGCTTTTAAGTTTTTTTCTTAAGTAATTCAAGGTTTCTTTGGAATTGAATATAGCTTTCCACTCTATTACATTTTCAAATTACTTTTTGCTTATTATAGGAAAGCTGTAGAATTTTATATGTTAATTTTATTTCTACCTTTCCAAAAATGTTAATTTAAACAGATATTGTGTGATCGCCTTGGATTTTCTAGATATATGTCTATCAATATTCATATTTATTTATTTTTTCTGATCTTTTTGTGTTGACCAGTAACTCTAGGACAAAATTATTGACCCTAAAAGTAAGTATCATTATATCTTGTTTTTGACTTTAATGGTGATGTAGTCTAATATTTTACTCTGCAGAATATTTGGAAATTGGCAAAATGATGATAATTGTTGAAGATGAGTGGTAGGTACATAGAATTCATTAATCTATTTTCTCTATGCTTGTATACGTTTTAAAATTTCCATCATAAAGAGTTAAATAGAAAAATAGAGTCGAATTAAAAAAAAGAACAAGGCTAGTTTTAGGTCAAAACTCTTTTTTAAATTGAAGTTGTATCTTTTTTCCCCCCCTAACTTATTGTAAATTTTTTATTTGAAATGGGAATAGAATTAAATGTGTTTTCAAAAAAATATTTTTGAAAGAAAAACTGTAACAAGGTCCACCCATCTCAGAAGACTAAGTGAAAAAGTATGAGAATTTCAATATAAAAAATTGAGAAGTCATTCTCTAAATATTTAGACTGGCTTCTCCCTCTTTTCATCAACTTACAGTTTTCAATAACAGTAGAAATGTCTCTAGGGCCTACGGCATGCTGAAAAGACAGAAGGGACTAAATAATGCATCATTGCTAGAAGGGTTTTTTTGGGAAAAAGATATGGGTCATGGCAGCTGTATTGAACTGCCAAGATCCCCCCTCCAGGACATTTATCCCCCCAGCTGCTGGGATTATAGTTGGCTGACACTTTCTAGCTGCCAACCCTTTCCAGGAATTGCCTATGGCTGAAGAGAACCACTTTGCTCAAGCTTCTACCTGCTTCTCAGGAGCAGCCGCATCCGAAGACTGGCTTGTATGGGGCTGTAAAATCCCAGCATCTTTGCCCAGCTCAGGGCAGTTGTTGGCAGGGCTGATTCCTTCTGAGGAAAGATTTGTTCCAGGCCTCCTGGATGGCCGTCTGCTCCCGGTGTCTCTTCATATCAATTCCCTCTACATGTGTTTGTGTCTGTGTCCAAATATGACACCAGTCATATTGGATTAGGAGTCCACCCTACTCTAGTATGACCTCATCTTAATTTAAAAAATGACATCTGTAAGGACACTGTTTCCAAATAAGGTCACATTCTAACGTTCTGGGCGTTGGGACTTCAGTATATGGATTTTGGGAGGACACAATTCAGCTGATAACATAGTGTCACTTCAAGTTTCTTTCCGATACCTTGGCCCTTCCTCTATAAGTTTCCTCTGCACTCCAGTATCCTTTTTCTTCTAGTATCGAGTCACTTTCTAATTTTATAGTATAATACTTGTGGGCAATTAAATTGGAATATATATTCTTTCCTTTTTTTTTGATGGACTAGCCCGGCTTTGAAGATTTCTTACTTTCTTTTTACATCGATTTAATTTTTTCTCTAGGGCCTTCCCCTTTCTCCTAAAGAATTCTTTCTCTTCCTCTAGAGTCTAACCTAATCAAACAGTGTTGTTTTATTTTTTGTTTTTTCCCCCTCTGTTCTCACTCTGCTAATAAAACTGAAACATGTCTTTTAAAATCAATGCATTTGTTTCCTTATTTCCCGAGCAAAACCGATTCCCAGAGACAGTGTGCCAGATAGAGGCCTTTTAAATTATTCTTTCCTTTTCGTTTTAAAATTTCATTCAAAATATTTTTTAAAAATTGTGCTAAAATACACATAAGATAAAATTTATCATCTTAACAATTTTTCGTGTACAGTTAAGTAGGGTTAAGTATTTTCACATGTTGTGTTTAAATTATTCTTAACTATTGTTTTATAGTCATTTCATTGAGTGGCTACTGTTCCTCAAGCCAAAAAGATAATATGGCCCCCTGTAAAATGAATCCTTACATCTTTTTCTTCTCTAAATTTTATTACAAAAAATTTTAGATATAAGGAAAAGTTGAAAGAAAAGTACAATGAATACTTCTAATCTTACATTCAACAATATTATTTAATCATGTTTGCTTTGTCCACCTATATGTATATATATTTATATTTATATATATACATTTATATTTATATGTATAAATTATATGTATATATTTTATACATTTGTGTGTTTATGAATGCATATGTGTATGAAAAATATATTTATGCATCTTTTCTTTACCGTCCTGAAAGCAAGTTATGGACATCAGGACACTTTGCTCCTAATATTTCACCATGTATCACATAAAAATAAGAATACTCTCCTACATAATCACACTGAAGAAAATGAACAAATTTTCTAATATCATCTAATATTCAGTCTATATTCAAATTTTCCCCATCTCCAAAATGTCTTTTATGACTTTTTTTTGGTTTTGAGAACCATTAAGTTTCATGCATTTCATTCTAATTCTTTTTGTTTATCCATCGAAATACTTTTCACTCTTTTGTATTTGAAGCCAAAGTTTGAGTCTTTAAAATAAAAAAGCCATGGTGAACTTATGTAATTAACAAATTATAATGGACAAGCCAAATGATTTCAAGAGATTTATACTCACATCTTACCTTGGCCCTAGATCTGTTGAAGTTCAAAATAAGATGGAGAGGAATAGAACCTAGGTCTGCTGAAATATTGCAACCTATTCATACCTAGATGCTACAATTAAAAGGCCAGTCCTCTGTGGTCTATGTACGCTTAACTGTCTTTTGTAATTTCTGGCTCTAGTCTACTATTTTCTAAGAAATATGTTATAAGTAGCAAAAATTATTCCATTGGTGGAACAATAATTCTGTATAATGAAGTTTTGTTAGTCTTACAGGGTATGAAAATACTGTTTTTTTGGGGGTAAACTAATGTTTGATTGAATCACACCTGCTTAGATCTAAGTCTGCCAGAAAATAGCTCTTACTAATGCTAGTAAAAACTAGTCTTCTGTCTGTAAACGTCAGCCAAAATATAATGTGTTACAACCTACAATGGTCAACACTCATAAAAGTGCTGAAGTTGAAGCCCTCCTCTTTTCCTTCATCTTTCCATGTGTTATTTCGATTGACCTAATCTAGTGTAGTAGTGATCTCATAAGATTTTCTGATCAATATGGCTGTATATTGAGGGAGGAGTGTATATTGGAGTGATGATTAATTCCACTTCTCTCGTAATCCCTGAATTTAGAACTAGTTGAGAAGTACATTCAGAGGTCATTAAGGAGATGGACAGATCAACCTTGTTTTTGTAAAGTGGATTGGAAAATATGGTTAGATCCATTATTAGGCTTTCTCTCCCCAGGTTCTAGACCTTGGGTTAACCTACCTGAGGGAGAGTTTTAGTGTTTAGGACAGACTCACATACCCAGAATTGCTACTTCACATTCTGTGAGCCCCCTATTAGTGCAAGCAGAAAAAAAAAAAAAAAAACCACATAACTGGGCACTGTCTTTTAAAATAAAATTGAAATATAATTTAATTACAGTAAAATTTATCATTTTCAATGTGTAGTTGGATAAGTTTTAACAAATTAGAAAATTCTGTGATCACTATCACAATCAAAATTTAGAACATTTTCATCACCCCAGGAAGCTCCTTCCTATGCTTTTGCAGTCAATCTCTTCTACTATCCACTCTTACCCCTAGACCCTGACAATCCTGATGAGATTTCTATCCCTGAAGTTTTGCTTCTAAAATGCTATATAAATGGAGTTGTGCAGTATGTCATTGCATACATCAGTGGCTTATTTCTCCTTATTGCTGAGTTGTCTTCCATTGCGTGGATATGCCACAGTTCACCAGTTGCCGGACATTTGGGTTGATTCCAGTTTTTGGCTATGATGAATAAAGCTGCTGTAAACATTTGCGCAAGTGTTTGCGTGGAGTTATGTTTTCATTTCTCTTGAGTAAATTCCTAGGAATGTGATTGTTGAATCATATTGTAAGTATATGTTTAACTTTGTAAAGAAATGGTATACTGCTTTTTAAGACATTAATTCCACCCAATAGAAGAACATGAAGCAATGTA